AGAAGCAATGTACCAACAACAGTTGCAGGTGGCCACTGCTCCGAACCACCACTACTTCAACCGCGAATACTCCAACTCCAACTGCAGAAACATCAACAGCATCAACCGGGAGTGTAGCTACATCCACACAAGTGCAAAAACAAAGGACTGCAACAACGCTATCCTCAACAATGCCAGCACATTTCATCGAACGCCTTTTCTTGACAAACTTGGCGCAGCAGGAAAAACTGCTGTAGTCGAACATTATGAGATGGAAAGCATTCTTCGCCAACAGCCTCTGAGAGAATAAGCCGATTTACTTGGTATTTTGCCCCCAACCATCCCCAACACCTTTCACACCTAATAGTCACAACTTCTTGCACCATTATTGGTTGCACATGCAAGTAGGAACCCATTTACAAAGTGCGTCACCGGACATGTTTGCCACCGAGCAAACTTTCAATAGAATCGGTGAAACCTCCTGCAAAGGCGAGCATTTCCCTGAAAAGATTCACATGGAACAAGTGCTTGGCGCAAGAGACTGGTATTTACATTTAGGCTTCAAGGGAAACAGTGAATGACTCCGCAGAAATATGTTTGCAGTGAAGGCGGAGGGAATAGTCAATCCGGTACATCTGCAGCCAAAGGAGCCCCAAACTCCTGCGGAGCTACCACGGCTCTTGGGCGAGGTGCGATGCGGCCAACACATGATTCTCATATGGGGTGAGAACAGATGCACAGTGGCTGGTCGTCAGCTTGAATCTTGATGATTCAACTGGCTCAAGCCATCTCAAGCCACCATCACCAACTGGGCCTCCACAGGATCCAGAGACGCCCAAAACGCCCAAGCGAGTCTCCTTGGCGCTGGGGGACGAGATCAAGTCACCGCGCTCGGAGGACACAAAGCTCGCCATGAGCAATTTTCACACAAACTCTAGACTTTTTTTGCAAAGGTGGAAGCACGAGCACTCAGGAAATCTTTATGAAACAGTAGATTCTCTCCTAATTTTCTTAATCTTGACTTTGATAAAGAATCTGCAGTGAGAACACAGAGGTGGTGAAGTCAGTCTTGCCAATCATCACAAGTTTTGGGGATGAGTCGGACTGTGAGATTTTGCGAGGACTCTCCCGTTAAAATGGGTCAACTTCCCAAGGCCTGTGCCATACATTTGGCCCAGTGTAGTTGTGGTTTGATTTCACAGCCACATTTGACACCACCGATTTGCAATGTGATTTGACAGAAGGATTTCCTTGGCACAGAGTAGAAGGACAGATCATTATTTAGAGTTTAGAATGCGAAAAACAATGTGAGCAAAGAATTCTTGCCAAATGATGGCGTATGTCGACGGTGTTTTGGTAAGTTGAGGAAGGCCAAGAGTCTAGAGTCTGGACAGTCTATATATATATATTATATATATATATATTATGCATGTATGTATGATGTAGATTCATATTGGGAAGTCTGAGACCCCTGGTCCACCCAAGTTTCGAAAGGGCATTGAAGTAACAGGCTATGAAGAACCCAAAGGTCAACCTTTCTCATCCTTTTCCATGTTTTTCCCATTCTGTGTAGGCTTGCCTTCGCAAGAGCGCTCCAGCCAGCTGAGACCTAAGGCGAAAGGTAACTTTGCAAGGTTCTCTTTCCTGTTGGCTCGTTGGCTATTTCCTGCCTTGCTTAAGCTACGATCCACCCTCCTCCTGACCTGACATGTTATGGCTTTTTGCAGCCCTGAACGGATCAACTTGACAAGACATATTCACGATGTTGAGGTCCCTCCGGTGACCCTGTCATGGCTAAGCTTGAGGAACTATGCGCCGGACTTAGACTTGCTGGGATTGCTGTCTTTAGTGTCCCAGATGGACAGTTTGCAGCTGTTTTCCATTCGGATATCCCAATATTAACAACCGGTCTGCAGTGAAGCCAAGACAAGAAGTCTGCTGGATCAGCACCAGTTAGCATCCACATCTTGCCCAGGTGATGCACAACAACAGATGTCCAGAAGGCCCGAGGTATTCGAGCAGTAGGTTTGATTGTTTCAAGCAATGAATGAATCCCAGTAAATTCATTTGATAATGATAGGAGTAAGCAGTACAAGCGACTGCTTTCTGCTTGATGCACCTTGCCATCAGGATTTGTGGGTAGTTGCTTCATTTCACCAGGGAAGAGTGGCTTTGCAGTAACTGGGGTGCCAAGGTTATAGTCACGCCATGTCAAGCCTGCTCAAGACCCAATAGTTTTCAGAGTTGCATTCCTTGCACATACACTCCACACCCTGGATCTGGTTTGTCGGCCCTGCAGGCAAACCACCATGTATGCAGATCTCCTGCAAAAATACGTCCGATTCTCAGATGGGATTGGGACTGTTGCGTCCAGCTGCCCAGCCGTAAGGGTTATCGGCAACGGATTTTCTGTGTGCTTTCTCTTGCGCTGATTCAAATCATGCAGGTCAATTTAACGATTGATTGAGCATGTTGAGCTTGCATCGAAAATTGTGTGAGCACGGCACGACAGGGCAATCATGGGCAATCTGTATGCACGGTCCTTGAGCCTCTCTGGCCACCGGGCTCTGAGGGCGAGCTTGCGGAGCAGGTGTATGGCACGCGAGAGCAGCTTCAACAGGTGGAGGGCTGATTCGGATGCTGTCGTTTGAAACCGGCTCTACAGCCATGCCACTAAAGAGTAGTAGCAACAAACGATGGTATACGTCCAAAGGGATCCCAGCTCGCAAGAATTAGGAACCAAGTGGAACAAGGCAGCATTCCGGCATTTTGTGGGTAGACTTAGACAATGACGATTTTGTTCTGTCAATGACTCAGAAACTTTAGCGGCTGGGAACGCTCACAGCTGGATCGGCAGCTCTGTTTGTTTTGCCAGATGGCCGCAAGCCCACAGCGGGAGGTGCCCGGGAAAGATTGAACAGTGATTGAATCCTACAGATTCAAGAGCTTTCATTGAACTCGCGGAGTCACGCAGAGGGCATATCTGATTTCCTGCTTGCTGGGTATCAGTCCATCTATCATGAGTAGAGTTCTCAAGGAAATCGCAAAAATGGGTCCCTTGAGGCATCAGTGAGAAAAATAGAAGATGTCAAATCAGGGTTGCTTTGTTCTGCTGCTCTGGTAGCGCATCTGATCTATCAAACGGCATCCAGACATGAAAAGCTTGCTTGATGAGCTGTTAGAAAATGAAGGACACTAGTTCTGACAATTCTAACGAGTTCAATGGCCAATAACCATCAAGAATCAAAGGCATGACTCTTTGGCCTTGTTCAACCTCTCCTAGCCTCTCGCTTTCTTCTGCAGGAGGCCACTGCTTTGACTGAAGATTCCGAGCGCCACTTGCACTAGCGGCACGGCGCCAGCGGCACTTGCCGACCATCGGCGCACCCGGCCATGCAGACGAGAGGAACAAATGGCCGTGAGGGGCATCAGTGACTGATCAGGAGAAACCCTGGATTTTTCATGTTTTCTGCATGTGTTTTTGCCCACAGAGTTGTTGATTACTGAATGTGTCTAGAGCAACATCCCGAAGCTCCAATGCACGGTTGCTGGAAACGTGTCACTTTTCAGCAAAGCTGAAGCGACGCGATGTCCTGCTATTTGAGTTTGCCTGGTCCTGGGGGCAAAACAGTAGATTGACGTTTATTCCGACGCCAGAAAAAATGTGTGTGTGTGTGTGCAATTATATATACATATATATATATAATAGTGTATATATACATGCATCTTTCATAAAAATCCCGACCCAGGCAGAACTCTGCAGTGAAAGATGTGCTTCTCTCTTTTTTTAGCATGTATCATGTGCACTCTCTGGGGTCACATGCACCCTGAGATTGCTAATCTTTGCACATACTCGTACCATGTTCGGATGTGGAAAAGGCGCTGGTCCGGGGCCCAGCCTGGAGCTGTTATGGAAGCCTCACACAGCTATGGCAGCTATGGGCAAGGCTATGGAGCTCTTGGCATTTCATGCCCCTTTGTGGATGTTCACTGGATGACTCTCGGTTCCAGCTTCAGAGATGGTATAAACTCGTTTCACTCTTCAGTTTGTTTGCAGACAAAGAAACGGGTGAACTTCCAAAAGGCAATGAAGATGGCGAAGTCCTTTGCATGTTGTCAAGCAGATCATGGATTTTCTTCATTCAGGCCATTCAGGCTTACGACATTTCACATCCTTCAAATCAAGCAAATCTAAATTCCTAAGATTTCCTAAGTGTCAAATAGAACCTCAAGACATCTCATTTGGCGTTTCAACGCCACTGGCGCCATGGTGCGGTCAGGCTGGGCACTTGCTAGGGCCTGCTAGGGTCCTTCGCCAGTTTGAGAGCTTGCCCGGCTTGCCCGGCTTGCCCGGCTTGCCCGGCTTGCCCGGCTTGCCCGGCTTGCCCGGCTTGCCCGGCTTGCCCGGCTTGCCCTTCCCTTTCTGGGAGAACTGGCTGTATTTGTCCTGTGCCAGGAGTGGCAGTTGCTGTTGCCTCAATCGCCTTGGCCCCAAAATTTGCATTGCCATGATATGCCATGAACCTTTTGCACCTCTAGGAGATTTTGTGACCGGCTTGAGGCTTTTCCGCTATGTGTTGCACCACCACCGGAGTTTAAGGAGCGATTGGAAAGTTGCACTTCTCAAAGGTTTTACAAGTCGATCTGGATCAATGAACTGCTGACAAATTGGTAAAAAAAGATAAAAAAAGTATATCCTGGCACAATATACTGGATGGATTGCAATGGATTGCCTTGTATTGTTTTAACATGTTTTAATTGTTTCACTGCCAACAGAATCCTCACGAAACTGTCAAAAGGATTCAAAAGGGTGGCGAAGAGTGCACTGAAATCATCCGAACTCCCCCGAAACCGTGGAGCACAGGATCTCTCCTGTCCTCCATGGCTTGGACGCCCAGAACAAAGAACAAAGGATGTCCAATGTGTACAGTTTGTCGGGCTGTCCTCATCCAACATATCCAACTCAACCACAAGACTCACGAAACAAGGAGACATCAGCAGAGTTTCTTCATCTTGGAAAGCGCCTGCTTTCCAGCACAAAGCATAGTGCGCCAAGTGGCCAGGTGGTATCCTCCAAAAAAACCGAAGAATCCCCTGTCTCAAGCTCAAGCTTTCCATGCTGCTCGAAGCCCGTGGATGAGTCAAATTTGGGTTGCTATGAGATCATTTGCTCCTAAAATTGGACATCGCTAGATTATGCAGGACTAAGAGTCACCACAAACCCTCGTCCCATTGATGCCCAATGTTTACAAGCAGCTGGACTTGACTGAGCTAAGGGAATACAATGGCCTCAGTGACATGAAGCCAGCATGTTGCTTGTCGATTTAAGAGGCTCTGGTGAGGGTTGTTGGGGCCATGGAAGGGGACGATGTTTCTGTTTCAGAGAAGCAGTCTTCAAGGCCTCAAGTCGAACACATGTGTATATACATACATCATACGTATAGTATATATACACATACACATATATATATATATACATATGTATATATATATTATATATACATATGTGTTCCTTTGAGACATGTGTGATTCCCTTGCCTCAACTCACAGTGAATCTGAGGCTTCAAGCTAAATGGAGGTGCTTTGCTTGGGGTGCTGGGAGCAATGCAGGATCAAGAGTGTATCTATCTGTCTCAAATTTGTTCAAGTGTAAGTGTGTCAACTGTGTGTGTGTATATTCATAAAACGCTAAACCCCCCCCCTCACCAACCCCCCCCCCTAGAAAATAACCTTGGAATAAGGCCCGACTAATATTTAAGACCTTATTATGGCCTTATTATGGCCTTAATAAGGCCTTAATAAGGCCTTATTCGTGAATGGGAAATAACCTTGAATTAAGGCCCGATTAGTGCCACGATGCCTGCTTGGGATTCAATTTATATAGATATGAGATTTCTGGAAATAACCCTGAATTAAGGCCAAATTATGCAAATATAGGTATAACCCTGAATAAAGGCCAAATTTATTTAAAAAAAAAAATGAGTCAAAGAGAACCTAATTCCATGTTGTTCCTGGTCAATATGTCCAATCAGTTTTTTCATGACGGGGGACAACAATTTAATTATTTGATTGGATTTCAATTCATGTGGATGTCGGGCTTCTGGACAATAAGGTATGCCTAAATTAAGGCAGCAATTACATTGGAACAAGTGTGTATTCTTCAGATTGTTTGAGTCAGCCTCATGAATTTTGCAAAATGTGTTTCCATGTTTTTTCCCGCTTTTTATTGGTTTGGACATTGTTCCCCGCGTCTTATTCAAAATACAACAACCCATGTTTCTCTTCTGTTTCTTTAGCGCAAGATTCTGCACTAGCTGGCTCAGACGCGCTAGGATGCATTGGCGTGTCAGCAGAGCAACCATTAGTGGAAAACATATTTACTCAGCAGTCCAATTGGATTCTTTGAACTTGTTAGTTCTGCAGGATATGATGTTGTTTTTTAACATTGATCGCACTTGGAAAGACAATAGAAGATTTTCTCCTGATTCAATGGATGTTGATTCGCCCGATGAATCGCCCCCTGTTCGAGATTCCACTTTGGTCAACATTTTCGAGTGCGTTTTGCCTGGGGACGTTGCGGTGACTATCGTTGAGGGAAGGGAGGAGGTGCAAGCCCAATGGTCTATTTCTTCATTCCTCAAGAACATTTTTAGTACCAAAGATACAGATTCTCTACGTCAACACTTTGCAGACAAACTTGACGAAATCAAGGAGGTTCACGAGAGGATCTGGCCGGGGTATGTAGTTCCTCCAATGTTTCTGTCTAAACATGATCAAGCAGACCAGGAAGGGAGGGGAGAGAGTCTTGGTCCGACGTTTTTGAAAACAAAGACAATGCCAACATCGATTGCCATGTCCTGGATTGTTTGGTCTGTTTCCAAATCAAAACGGAGGGATATCGATCGTGTCAAGAGCCAAACTTTTCTGCGGAACCTTTTGGTACATGTGTTAGAAGTTGCTGGAACGTTACAGTTCAGTGTGGTTGCTGTTGCGAAAGCAAACGCAAGAGCAAAGGATATTGAGATCTCAGAGAGAAATGATTGCATTGATTACCGCAATTTGTGGGACAATAAGATCAAAGGAAGAATTGTTTGGGTTTGGGAAGAGACAAAAAGACGCGGAGAGAGTCAAATCACTTCCAATTGGGACAGACCCCACTGGATAGACTTCATCGTGTTTGCTCTGGACCCCAAAAGTGGTTCGGCGCCCCAGCTACTGGCTCCTGTCGCTTGGAGTATTCTGGCACAAACAGCTGCATGGATGGATACCAATATGGGGAGATTGGCTCTTTCTTTCCAAAGTGTTCAAAACTCGCGTCACAAGAATCGGCAAGAAACTTTACGGGTTACCAAACAAGACTTGACGCACCTGGCACAATTTTTACTGTTTGAAAATGAACCTTTGTTGCATTATGGTGCATTGTGTTAGTTTTTGATTCCTTCCACCCCAAAAATAATGTACTAAGCTAAGAATGTTCTTACTGACTGTGAGTTCGTTCACATGTTCTCTGTATATGGTTTTACCAATTGTTTTCTTGTTTCCAGTAAGGAAAACCATGGTCTTACAGTACGGAAGTTGCTGGACGATGCCAAGCTCCATCACATACAAGTCAGCAGATTCTGTTCTATGGTTTGCGACTCTCAGCTTAAATTCATCCCTATTCATTGGTTTTCAGAACTTTCTATACTTTCAAAAGAACCATATATATATGATAGCAATAGAATACATTTATGAATGTCATTGTATGTCCTCGCTGCAGGAATCCTACTGGGCAAGAGCGAGAGCAGAACTTTCCCAGTGCAAGGTGTATCACGTTGCTGCCTCAATTTGTCCAATTAATAAATGGGAATGAAGGCAAAAGGGTGAATCATCCAATCAATTTTGGTTGGGTAAAAATTCCACACCATAATTTTCGTCATCACAATGTGGTCGATCAAGGTCTACATCGATGGATCTTCGATTGCCAAGAAGCCAACAGAAACATGGTTGCAAACAGGGGTGGGTTTAAATTGCTATTATTTCATTTCAGTATCTACAAATCAACATGTCCATGTTGCCTCGTTTTTTATTTTCCCTGAAGTCTTGAAAAATTGAAAAATTGAGTTGTTTAACTTCTCCCTTGCCGCTTGCTCAGGAATTGTGCTTCATTTGGAGCCCAAACATTCTTCGGGGTGCATATGCACCTCCTGTCGTACGGAACCTAAGCTAGCTGCTGCTTGGAGGGTTTCGATTTTGATTGGATGTTTAATTTTCCCAATTTATAGGCCCAACAGTCATTGTATAATATTGTGATTTATATAATATTATTACATAAATCATTATTAATGATGAATTGGCCAACTGATTTCCTCATACATACACCGACCGCCCTTTGCAGTCAAGGTTCAAGTCAGGCATAGCAACTTTTGTTTTTCAATTACAAATCTGCTCATTTTTCAACCATGTTTGGTCAACGCAAATCTACAAAGGAGTAGCAAGCCGAGATAGAAATACATAGGTTCACAAGGAACACAAGAAAGCGTTATTACTTGTTGAAAAATGTTTGCATTTATTTACATGGATTTAGTTCAGCATGCCGGCAGCTGCGTCGGCGCGAATCACTGGTGATGGGGACAGTGACATTTCTCGATATACCTCCGCTCCTGCAACATCACAATCTACTTCAAGTTGTCCTTCAGCACCTGCAAAAAAATAATTTGCTGAATTTTCTAATGAGACCTAGTTTTGGTCCTAGTTGTCCTAGTTTTGACCCTAACCTCGTTCACCTCCTCATGACATGTCATACAGGCAGTGCATCGCGAAAGCAGCGCCCTACATCGAGCAGCCCAAGCCCTGTCGGTAGCTGTTGGATTAGTTGCAGAGTGGATTTCTCCAAAACAGTTGGAGGACGAAGTATTCAAACGTTGGAATTTCCCAAAACACAATTCAACAGCTATTACTTGAACAGAAATGTCCGTTCGATATATATATATATATGTGGATAAGATCATACATTACATCCCAAGGCATCAATGAGGCAGTAAGAATCAATAATCGCCTAAAGAATCAGTCTATTACAAAATCAGCAGCTTCATCATCAGCATCATCAGCAATCAGCAAACCAGCAGGAGTCGATGCTGGCCACAGCGAATAAGACTTCGAGCAGTTGCACAGGTGCTATGACCTCGGAGCTCAGTCTGGCAAGCTTGGAAGCAGTGATCAACAGCTCGGGCAAGATTCAATTTCCAGTTCGTTTCTGCCCCGTTAGTTGCCATGATACTTGATGTCCTACGAGTATGTTTTGAAATTTGTTTATGAACTGTCCAAATTCAACAAACTAAATAAGGGGAACGCATGAACTAATTCCAATGATTTTGGTGACAGAACCGACAACAGCCCAAGGAATGGGACCCCTATTGTCGCCAAATGATTTTTGATCACTCCGTTTGGATCAAGCAAACATCTGGTATGTCTTGCAAGACTCCTTGCCTATTTGGGAATTTGGAGGATTGCATTCCCAAAGCTACATATGAACCTTCAGATGACTTCGAAACGAAATTCCAAAAGGTTGATGCGAGCGACATGTATAGAACCCAGTATTGCTACACACATGACTGCCAATGCGAGCTAGACAAACGGTCTGACTTGGAGACTGCAGGGTTGCCTTGCTGGGACTATAGTCTTGCCGGGAACAGGTTAGCAGAAGAAGGACCGACCATTGGATCCTTTCTGACACATGGGAAACGGCATGTAGCCTTTTCTACCCCGTTGATGATAGTGGAAAACGTCAAGGACCGGGTTAGCCCAAAGTTAAAACATAGTTCACCACTGCTTTAAACATGGGATTGGGTTAAACACTTCCCTTCAGTACCTCAAGATGATGGTCATCTACCAGATCTATGCTGAGCACTACCACATCTGGAAGATAACTGTAGACACGAGTGATGTGGGACATTCAGGAACCCGGCGTGAGAGAGTCTACATTATCTTGGCTCACAAACAGCGTACTGTCCAGTTGCAAGACCCGATAAGGCTGTATGAGTTCCTGACTGGACATATCCAATCGATACTGTCTACAAGGCCAAGAGATTATTTCTTCTCAAGCAGACGTGAAATTCAGTTGGCTGCCACTGAGCTCGCTCGGACACGCCGTAAGAAGATGAAACCAGCATCGTGACAGTTGTTATTCAGAAATTTGTCACCTTTAATTTAAGCACAATTCTCAAAACTTAAATGCAGTATATAACTATATATATATAACTGATATTTGGCCTTAGCTTACTGCAATTGTTTAAACTGGCTTGACCCCCCGTTTCCGATATAACACCCTGTGCTGCCAATGCCAAGGTACCCCAAGGAAGCAAACACGTGGACTTGCGATACCTCCTGACCAAAAGGGAGAAGGGAGTTCTCAGGAAACTGAGCCGGGAATACACCAGGTTGTTCAAAAAGGACCCTGAAAGTGATCCAGATTTTGTCATGTATCTTGGAGATAGTGCTCAGCGCAAGTGTTGGTCAGCCTCATCGGGGAAAGTCCCTACTCTACGCATGGCAGGGGGGTTGACCTGGTCAGTCAAAAACCGAAGGTTTATGACAGGCAGAGAGAAACTAGGCATGCTTGGGTTCCCAGTAACTCCATTGACTGCTGCAGCTTTGTCGGTGAGGGAACTACCAGTGGCTGATCCTAAGAGATGTTCAATGGTTGCAGGCAATTGCATGCACTGGTCATCGATTGGCGTGATCCAGTTGGTCGCGCTAGTGTCGTTCCGCCAGCTGTAGAACAGAAAGCTGGGACCAGTGTTAGAACCCTTTGACCTGTCCTACATGTCAGAACAGTTCACCAGCCTTCTGAATTGAATTTCAATTCCCTTAGCTGAAAATTGGGCTGTGCGCTTGACAACCTTTCTTAAGGTTGATTGTTGGGAACCGGGAGGGTGAGTTAAACATTTATTTGGGTTTGGTTCGAACATATATTATAATGAAACAATTCAACAACAATATATAGTCCAGAAGCTAGCAAACCCTTGGCCTCCTTGTCACAATTTCAGATAATCAGATTTAACACAGGAATCCAACATCACGTTCTTGATTGGGCAGGACACCCCCCCACAAAAGTAACATTTCACTGCTTTGAGCTGGTGGCCGCCCTTGATCCATGTCTATTTATGGTTTTTGATTCAAGCCAAAACGGTGTCTTGATTGAGGGATCTTGTCTCAATTCAAATTCTTGCCATGGGTCGGTCAGAGACATCAACCCGCCCGTCGTCCTCCACTCGCGGCCGCAAGACTGATCGTGATGAGGAGCATGACAGGAGCCCTGGCCCAGGTCATGGGAAAAAGAAAGCGAAGGCATCAAAGAATGAGGGGTCTGGCATCAAACGGAAGGAAGAGCGTGAGATGATTGTTCCCACCAAGCGCATGCGGGGCAAGACCCCATCAGTTGTGTGTCTTGATATCAAAATCCCTCAAAACCTTTTCTACTTTCACTGACTGAAACCATGCAAAGGCTTTTTTGGGGAGCCCCTCATCCCGATGTCATAGCTCTTAATAAGTTGTTGCCAGAGGAATTCCTAAGGCAGGGGTAGATGATTTCATTTGATTCATATCCCTGGAAAACACTCCATCATTCATTGGAATCATGGGCCGGGCCTGGGTTAGACACCTCCCCTGCATTTGTATTTATTTTGTGGCGATGTTTTATTGTTACATGTGCCCAGTAGGGTTACAGTAATTTATACAATATAAATTTGTGATGTGTGCATTGTAAATTAAAAATCAGACTCGTCGTCCTGAATTAGATATTTGCCCACACATGCATATACATTCCAGGTGGCCTGGTGGTCACAAGCTTCGTCACCCTGGGTCCGATGATGATGAGGAGGAAGAGTCTGCCTCACCGCCGCCCCCGCCAGAAAAGCCCAAGAAATCAACAGCAAAAGCGAAAGAATCGGCGAAGCCAAAGAAGGCGGCCCAGCCAAAACAGTCCAAAGGACGAACCAGAAAGCCAATGTCAGAGGGGGGGCGCAGTGTGACAACAGAGTTCTACAATCACGCTACCTATGAGGATATGCCAGTAACTGGTCACCAATCAGAGTGATTTATGTGTGCTTTTCAATCCTGGAGAGTTCCTGTAACTACATGTTGAAATTCCCGTAACTACTATTAGTTGACCCCTTTTTAATTCAATGGACCCGCAAATGTGGTTTCATCGACTAAACAATCCAGCCAGCCAACTAAGAACCACCATTTCCGAGTGTGGCTTCAACACGCTGAGCCGAAGCATTTGAACCAGTTGATTGTAAAGAAGTTGGACAGAGAAGAGCTGTTCCTACTCCTGGCATTCTGCTTTGGCTTCTCCCCACAAGATGAGGTGGCAGAGAAGCTTTGGCTTAAAACCTTTAAAAACTCAATGGCGGGTCCCCTGCTACACTTTGCCATAGTATTCTCTTGCCTTATAAAAAGAATTATCATTATGATTGTTCAGTAAATATATGCCATAATAATAGCAACGCCAGGAAAGCTGTTCAATTTTTCAAACTACCAAAAATGGATCTTCGAATGTCAGCTGACATGTATCCTTTGTCCCAGGTGTGATTGCAGCCCACTATAATAATATAAATATTTACACTATATAATATTATATATATATATATAAATATATAAAATATCTATTACACATGATAAAAGTTCCCCTTTCAAACCCTTCAGCCAAGGAGGAAGAAGCCAGAAATGTTGGAAGCAGTCAAGTCAGAATATGAAAGGCGCGGTTCACCCATCGCATTCACCGGGTGGACTGTACACGAAGTCAAGGCTTTCATGCTCGACCATTTGAAGAAGGTGAAGAAAGGGGGCGACTGCGGTGTTCATGCCCGTCTTCTCCCAAGGCGGCCAAGCCCGGAGCTGCCTGCCCCTCTGCCGGACGGCATCTCTGTTCAAGATGATGATGACAAGGACAGTAGCGGAAGTTCAGAGAAGGAAGGGTTCAGTGAATCAGAAGACGATGGCTTGACTGATGAGGGTTGGAAAATTCAGAAGAAGAAGGGCAAGTACATGCTGGTTCACACAGAGACCAAGGAATCCATCGAGCTGGGACACCCAGACAAAGGTTCCACTTGGGAAGTGTATCAGGACGACGATGTGGACTACCTGAACCAGACAGACAATGATGATTGGGAGGCCATGTCTTGCCTCGAGTACTTCCAGGAAGTCAAGGCTTCAGAGAAAGCACTTGACAAAAAGAAGGCAAAGCCAGCGCCCAAGACCCCCATGTCTGAAAGACGAGCACCACGTATGAAAGGCATGGCAGAAAAAACCCGTGCCGCTCCAAGCGAGAAGAAGCACACACAGCAGCCAGCACAGTCTCAAGAAGAAGCATCCCCTCCCCCTGAAGAAGAAGAAGAGTTCGGTGCCAGTTCAGATGAATCTCCACAAGCGCCTGAAGAAGATGAGAATGAAGAAGATATGTGGATGCCATTTATTGCCAAGGATCGCGCAGGCAAAATGTTCCTTATCGATCCGAAACCAGGGAAAGAACTGAAGCTCCCCGTTGACAAGTGCTCCGATTGGGAAATTGTCAAGAATCCAGAGAAAAAAGGATATGAGCTGGTTTCAAAGTCCAATAAGGACACCCCCAAAGATGTGGAAGTCATCATGGCAGGCAGGAAGGCGAAGAAGGTTGAAGATGAAGCTCGCTTCAAGTTGGTGCAAGATGTGCACGCCAAGGTGGAGAAGTACAAGGACGAGAAGGTGCAGAAAGCCGCGCTCAAGAATCTTGAGAAAGTCGCAGAAGAGCATCAAAGAGCGAGAGAAGAAGACAGAGAGAAGCAGAGACAGAAGACTGAGGCACATCAAAAAGCTGCACAGGAAAGGGAGCGCAAGATGATTGAGGATGCTGTAAAGCTGAAGGAGGATAAGGAAGCAAAAGCACAAGAGGAGGCAATCAGGAGGATGAAGGCTGAGATTGAGGAAGAAGAAAGAAAGAAACTTGAGGAACGAAAGAAGAAGAAGGAACAGGAAGAAAAGGAGGCTTTGGAAAGGATTGTGAAGGAGAAGGAACAAGAGAAGATTGATGCGGAAAAGAAGAAGCAACTGGAGGAGAAACTTCGCAGAGAGATTCAAGCCAAATTGGAAAAAGAGGAGGCAGGCAAGTCAGACAAGGCTTCTAAGATTCCAGACAAGGCAGGAGACGAGGAGGGCGACGTGCACAAAACAAAAGAAACTGAGAAGAGCAAGCCGGAAGAGACAGACACGGTGCCTGAGAAGGGTGAGTCAAAGCCTAAGGACAAGTCAAAGCCTAAGGAGGAAGAACCGAAGAAGCCAGCCAAGAGCAGCGGGACAGATAAGAAGAGCGACACACAGGAGTCTTTTGAAAGGTGTGGGGGTGATGTGGCTGGATGGATAAATGCACAGGTTAAGCAAGAAAGGCAGCTAGCCCACACAAAATTTTGGGACAGAGTAAGGGCAAGGGAAAAAAGGGAAGCCAAAGCCAAAAGAAAAGAATCCAAGTCCGTTTCGACCCAGGAGCAGCCGGCGGGATTGCAGTCCAAGTTGCCCCAAATCAACCTCGATTGAGTGGCATAGCAGTGTAGGCGCTTCTCATGTCGGCCCAGTGCATCCTAAGTCAGGATGATGTGGCAGGTTTTCAGATACAGTATCCTGAGATCATCCAACTGTATTACTGTAATGTCAATTGGAATTCCTAAAATCTCACAACCTTTCCGGAACAAAGTTTTTGCTGTTCAATCTTTTAGTGGAATGCCCTTGAATCCAAGAATTCATTTTGATATTTTTGGGGGCAGATTCTTTTCCCACAATAGAGTGAAATTTCACAACTTCTTATTGGAAACATGGGAAGACTATAAATTATACTCACAACTTTCCCCGCTGTAAAGCTGTGATTTTCCTGATTTTCCCACTTGATGGGGAGCAAAACGGTATTCAACATTTTAAAACCAAGCATTTCCACCAAAAGTTGCGCTGTTGGTGTGTTTTGATGTTGGGGAATTCCAAACAGAAACATGGTTCAATGGGTTTGGGAAAATGCCACTGAACTAAGTAAACTGGACTTTAGATATATGATGAACATGATTCTATTTCAAAACATTGCGATTTGCAGGCTGTTGCAATCTAATTATTAGGGTGAAATGAGGAAATTCAAATTTGACAAGCAAACATTGCAACTTTCAGGGTTTGGGGAAAATAACTTGGAATTAAGGTGGAATTAGTGGTGACATGTCAATTTTACCAGCAAAAAGTGCAATTTTCAGGGTTTGGGGGAAATAACCTGGAATTAAGGTGGAATTAAGGTGGAATTAACCTGGAATTAAGGTGGAATTAAGGGGGAATTAGTGGTGAAATGTCAATTTTACCAGCAAAAAGTGCAATTTTCAGGGTTTGGGGGAAATAACCTGGAATTAAGGTGGAATTAAGGTGGAATTAAGGTGGAATTAAGGTGGAATTAAGGTGGAATTAGTGGTGAAATGTCAATTTTACCAGCAAAAAGTGCAATTTTCAGGGTTTGGGGGAAATAACCTGGAATTAACCTGGAATTAAGGTGGAATTAAGGTGGAATTAACCTGGAATTAAGGTGGAATTAGTGGTGAAATGTCAATTTTACCAGCAAAAAGTGCAATTTTCAGGGTTTGGGGGAAATAACCTGGAATTAACCTGGAATTAAGGTGGAATTAAGGTGGAATTAAGGTGGAATTAAGGTGGAATTAGTGGCGAAATGTCAATTTTACCAGCAAAAAGTGCAATTTTCAGGGTTTGGGGGAAATAACCTGGAATTAACTTGGAATTAAGGTGGAATTAAGGTGGAATTAACCTGGAATTAAGGTGGAATTAAGGTGGAATTAGTGGTGAAATGTCAATTTTACCAGCAAAAAGTGCAATTTTCAGGGTTTGGGGGAAATAACCTGGAATTAACCTGGAATTAAGGTGGAATTAAGGTGGAATTAAGGTGGAATTAGTGGTGAAATGTCAATTTTACCAGCAAAAAGTGCAATTTTCAGGGTTTGGGGGAAATAACCTGGAATTAACCTGGAATTAAGGTGGAATTAAGGTGGAATTAAGGTGGAATTAGTGGTGAAATGTCAATTTTACCAGCAAAAAGTGCAATTTTCAGGGTTTGGGGGAAATAACCTGGAATTAACCTGGAATTAAGGTGGAATTAAGGTGGAATTAAGGTGGAATTAAGGTGGAATTAGTGGTGAAATGTCAATTTTACCAGCAAAAAGTGCAATTTTCAGGGTTTGGGGGAAACGAAGGTGGAATTAGTGGTGAAAATGTCAATTTTACCAGCAAAAATTGCAATGTTCAGGGTTTTGGGGAAATAACTTGGAATTCAGGTGGACTTAAGGTGGCATTTACAATTTACTGGGAATTGTCATGGCCGGTAAACATTTTGGAATTAATAGGACGAAAGGGAAGTTTTACACAGAAAACCGACGATCTTTCTACTTGATGACATATCGGGAATGGACAAATTTTAATTTAACATCTTATTCTTTCCATTAATTGAAATTCTGAAAATTGCAATGTTCTCACCTCTTAACTTACCACTTCTTGAAGTTTTGGGATGTTGGAATTAAGGAACATTATTTTATTATTTGGATCAAGTCAAGAAGGGCCAAAAATGGCAACTTTCACCAAAACAATATTACCTGAGTTTCCCTTTTGTGGAGAAACAAGAATGTGTTGTATAATAATGAGAAGATGAAAGTCCAAACTGCGATTCTGATGTTTTTGGTGGAATTGCCCTAATTCCAAAAAGGTAACTGCCCATCAACAAATACAAGTTTTGGTGAGCATTGCGCCCCAAAGCTATGATTTAGGGACTCCCTAAGTTATAATTACTATATATGGGAATATTGCCAAATAAAGTCGGAGTATTGGGGTGTAGGCATCTTAAAAACCATCAACTGAACAAATGGGAGCTTGGTGGCTTTGGGCAACCAACATATTTTCTAAGATGTAATTCTCTTGATCTTTCCAAGAATTAGCAGTCAATAAGACCGCATGTGTTTCAAACAACCAACGGTGTTGTTTCAGACAATCTTATCACGATAAATTCCCGCTGGAAATAGAAATCCTTTACATGCCCACATCAGAATTCCATAAATTGCAGGGTACAAATGTCTAGGTCTGATTCTTCAAAAGTTTGGGGCATCAAACAATCTGTATGTAAATTTTATTCATCTCATCATTCAGCAATGTGGGGCCTTAATCTTCAGCGTATAAATATATTGCCCCCAGTTTAAATTGGTGGCATAAGTTTGGCAGGACAAAAGAATTATGAAGACTGTGAACTTCCCAATGAAAGCAAAATGGTACCAAGCCATCAAGGAAGGAGCCAAATTGTGTGAGTTAAGGGCAGCATCATCTCATTGGCTCACAAGACTCCAAGGGGCTACCCACTGTTCTTTCACCTTGGGTTTCTCGACTGTTGTTTTACCTACAGGTTTGCTAACAAATTTGCCTCAATGGGGCAATGGTGAATTTGATTAACCAATTGTTTCCTGAATTCTTTGTTTTACTAAATTGGTCTTTTTTGTTTTCGCCATCAATCTTTGGAAAGGTTACGACCCGAAGACAAAGATTACGAAGCGTATCCTCAGAACAGAAACTATTCCTGCTGCATCTGCTACTGACTATGGAGTGAGACCTGAAGAAATGGAAGGGTTGTTCAAACAACATACAGAGTTGGTTGCAGTGCACTTTTGCTGATTGAGATAGTTCTGTATTTCCATATTTTTGTTACTCAATGGGTACGTAATAATACTGACAATGCCCTGACCCTGCTTGGGCTATTTGTACCCTTTCACTCATTGCCAGCAAGAAGCGTGCCAATTTGGCAGCCACTCGTCAGCCACCAGAGGCCTAGCGTATGCTCACACTCTGACCCTTCGAAGGTTTCAGTGAGATCGGGGATGAAAACTTGAACCCAAGAAATGAATACCGATGATTTAGTTTAAAGTTTCAACGGTTGCCGACACCCAAGCATTGAAGAATTCTAATTCTAATTTGAATGGAAGGGTCAGAACGCACAGAATGAGCGAAACGTCTGGCTCCGCAACTGTACGATATATTGCACAAACTACTATTGGTCTGAGAATGCCACCGGGCCCAAAAAAAGGCACATTCTGGGGCTTGGTCGGTGGGATTCAGGATTACTCTGTTAAAGTGGAAAATATGGCTGCTTCTTACTAGCTGAAGTGATCATGTGTCATTTTAAGGGAAGGACTCCCTATTCATATTTCAGTTGGGTTGCAACACAAGTACATTCTATTTATCCTCAACATTCCTTTTAGCATTTTTCGAACCAATGGGCCAGTGGGGTGCACCATCTGGTGGTGTGCAATCCTGGGGTTTCCCAAATCGGGTTCGCAAGGACAACCAACATTTTGGCAATTAGTTATCTGATTGGTGGTTTGGAACATTTTCTATTTTTCCATATATTGGGAATAATCATCCCAACTGACCAATATTTTCAAAGGGTTGAAACCACCAACCAGATAAATAATTTTATATATTATATCGATGTAACCCAAGACATATTATGTTACCCATTCAGACTTGAACCGTGGCTTTTCATCAAACGACCAAACATTCAGACCCCTTTTGTGCGGCATCCAAACTGCTGACAGATTCGGATATGCAATAGACAATTTTCACAGTTATGTCCTGGTTTACAGTACAGGGCTACCAAACACATGATGATAAAAAGGCAAACATCATGTGGCAACCAAAAACGTTATAGCTGAATTCCGCAGGGGTGACCCTGAGCGCGTGCCTAGGTGTTGAAGAAAGTGTTTGCCGAACAGCTTGATGGCAGCTCAGTATGGAGGCACCTGAGTTGGGCAATGGCTCTTTCATTGTGGGGCTACACCAATGGCAATGGTGCATGCACAGCGTAGTTACATTTACGCGTGTTTACACTAAACAGAAACAAGCAGTTCCGTAAGAAAGGTTTTTCTCAATTCCTGTTGTGGCCTTGCCCCGTACCCCTTCCACGCAGCGATTCTGATTCAAGCCTGGGTTGGACTAAAGATTATTAAAATCGACTTTGCCATGGCGCCTAAGTTGTCCCTACTCGCGAGGGAGAGTGCCGATGTGGTTGATCTGGTTTCACCAGAAACACCCAAAAGGCAAGTAGCTCCCCCATCATCACCAGTCGAGAAGGGCTTGGGGTCACCAACTGGTGTGTTACCGAAACGGAGCAAAAAACGCAGATTCGAGGAGACCACCCAGTTGAGCCCTCCAAAGCCAATGCGCACACAGTTCGGAGAAGAAGATTTCAGGACCCCAATACGCAATCGAACCCAAGCTTTGAACTCGCCTTCCGACCCGCCTTTGAACCCACCTCCAGATCAGAGAACGCCTGACACTACAGAGACGGTGAAAAACCTTGTGACTGACTTGAAGGGACTAGAGCTTGAAGATCCTCGACCTCTTTCAATTCTTTCCCAGAGGTTGGGCCAACGTGAGTCGCCAGACATGAGTCTTTCAGTCCGTGCCCACCGATCTTCCCCCACCAGTTTGTCAGGGCTTCATGACTTTGTGGGTGGGCCAATTCATTTTGATTTGACACCAGACCATTCCAAGTTCAGGCGTATGCGGGCCAGAGATTTCGATGATCGTCTAGAGGATGACGCGGAGATTGAAAATCAGAAGTGAGGGGTTCATTTTCCAAAGCTTATTTTCCACAGCGCTTGAAATGATGGGACAATTTTGAGTTCATTCGCAGTACAGCAGCTAGCAAGTGAGAAGCAGCTGAACGCAGTCTGGGAAAAAGATACTTCAGCCATTTTTTTGGCAGTATTTTCGCATGACAAGTAAGTAGAATCGAGATTGATTGGTTGGAAAAGCAAACCATTTTCAGCAAACCTGCTGGAAAAGCGGCAATGACAGTCATGACATTAATGAGTCTGAGTTAAGTCTGAGATCGAATATGTCAACTTTTGTTTCTTTCAGAAAGTTTCCTCATTATGACTGGCCAAAGCTGACCAAGAAGCAAAGCAATCTTTTCTTCGCGGGGGCTCCCACTCAGCAGGAGCAGTGATGCGAACAGAAACACATATGAGAGTACAGAATTGCAATTCCATTTGTTTCTCCACAAACTTTATTCAGGGCTTACTTCAACAGGTCCCATTTCTTTCCGCGGCAGCTCAAACCAACTCTTAGAGCTTATGGAAATAAACAGTTCTTTTCCTACCTTTCAGATTTCAATTTCAATTTATTGTTTGGGGAATGATGTCAACCATACTTATTTTAGCCTCGCATTCATCCTCCAATTTTCCTTTTGAAACTGGGAATCATTGTGAAGGTAAAGTTCCTCCAGCATTTCTTGTGTGTGATTGCCTTGCCATAGCGGACCCATGCCATAGATTCTTAAGTCTTAGATTCAACGCAAACAACATCAGAATTGTATAGTTGGAAGAGTTATGAATGAAGAGTTGTTCCTTCATAGCGTTGTTTTATATATCAAAGTTCTTACAGAACATATTCACATATCGTCCAGTCCAGTTTTAGTCACACCAACCAGAAGTTATTAACTAGATGACATTGCACCGGTATTCTTTACCAGGTTTACTATTGGAGGTTCTTACCACACAATCATAGCCCCTTTCAAGTTTAAATATCTCAGCCCGCTTGAAGGTCATCTTGCGGACAATCAACCACGCGTTGCTCACCATGACCAGCATGACTCTCGCGGACTTCCGGGTTGGGGATGCGGAGCTTCTGCGTGAGGGAGGGGACTTGTCGACTGCAAGAGTTACCCCTGTGCAGAACATGAAGATTTTGAAATTTGTTGCGGATGATGAAGCTACCCAACACAAAGCCTTCAACTTTATGTTCGACAACAAGGTTGGATTATCCCTCCGTGGTTTTGGTGACTCTGAAACGAGTCACCCAGCATGGAACTCCTTTAAAAAGGCAATCAACAAAGCTGGCTTTACCATAACCATGATGAAACTGACCCTTTGCAGCAACTTGCTTTGAACCCAGCTGCATTTTCCCAGCAATCAAGAAAAGGATGGGCCCCATTTTTTAAAAAGGTGTCCCTGGGAGTCCCTGGGATTGAGAACATGTTCATAAGTTCAAAACGATTCAGGAGGTAACTGGTTTTCTGAATAATTATGGCCCATCAGTTCCTAGTTCCTACAGACCAGTGCTGCTCAGCCAAGGCAACTTCGACCATGGCAGTTACAAGTCAGGTGACAGGCTCGAGGCAAAGAGGGATGTGTTTGAGCGGTTCCTATCCTTCAAGGGCGAAGCTTACTTTGAGTCATTCCAAGAATCCGTTGCAGCTGACCGGGGGGAATACTTCGATGGGAACTTTGATTTCGCTGATTGCATGCAAGACTGGATGCAAAGCAGAGCTCTCAAAAACCGAGGGCTTTATGCGACACGCCTTATTATTGTTTACTGTTGTGGGTGACCAATAATAAAAACTCTAAAGACTCTAAAGCTGACATTCCAGCAGAAAGTTTCAGGCAGGCAACTGAATTTCAACACGGTTTTTCTGAGGCAAAAAACAAATCTTGGTTTGGCTACAATGCTGCACTCAGAGACCTCCTTTACGACTGGACGATTCAACAGCAAGCTCTCTTGGCGCTTCAGCATGTGGTGGAGAGGGTTGGTTGATGGTGTGTTGGGAAAAAAAATCCGCAGCCAATCAACCAGGTAACCGACCATGTAGTAAAAAAATATAGACTATGTTTCCCCACAAACTGTTCTTAGATTGCCTGATTGATGTTGTGTGGAAGTAATAGTCCTGACCGTCCCCATCCGTCCCCATTAAACAAAATGGTATTTTACTGGGTACTTACTAATTGCGCTCCTTCGTTTGTGTGTGATCATTAGTTTTTATTTTAGGTACCCATCATCATGGTAAAACCCAATTTCAGCTCAGCTTCAGACTTGGTGATTATCCTGATTAGCTTATTTCAATGTTTTCCTATCAGTTGGTCATAGCTAACATCTGTTAGCTGTTAGGGTTATGAATCACATCAATTACACTGAGCAACTATGCTACTTTTCCGATTCCTTTAGCGTTCCTGCATTGCCTTCCCACAGGAGAAAGAGAATGACCAGCCGCAGGAAGAAGACAAGCACATGCACACAGGAGAGTCAGAAGAGGAAGAACCTCAAGAACCCAGAAACCGCACTGAGTTTTACCGCCTCTTTAACCAGAAGGGGCCCACTGTGATGGTTGCGGGGTTTATGGCTGACAAGTCCGTGAAATTGATTGCACACATCATCGTCGACATCACCTACCCCTTAGAAAACAGTTACTATGACACGCTGGACAGAGTTTCTAGGGGTTGGGTTGCTCAGGCTAAATGGGTGAGCGGCAGAGCTGTAGGCGAGTGGCTGCGCACTGTTACAGGTATCCTGAGCGTTTTGGAATCTGACCAGCTGCATGACCATTTGGAGCTGTCACCCAACATGAGGCTGGCAAACATTCCCGCTGAGGATGATTGGCCTGTTTGGGCACTTCAGGAAAAGGATGTTCTGGGTCAGGCTTTCGACTTCGCAGTTGCCCTGGCAGAAAACTGGTTGTGGGCAAACATACACTTCTGGTTTGAATTTCCGTCACTTGTTGCGTCTCTCTTACATGATGATGAGATGATTGTAGATATGGCTTGGGAGCACATGCAAACTTTAGCAAAGGCAGTCAACACAGCAGAAAAGGTTCAAAGGGCATCAGTGAAGCAGCTCATGTCTGATTTGGGCTGGCACAGGGAGCAGCTCGCTAGAGAGGCTATGGCGCTGACTTTGCAAGGTCAAAAGCAAGAACTGGTCAGTTTGGCAAAGAGGCTGTTTATGGGAACGCCATCCACAAAAGATGTGTTAGAGAATGCTTTTGCGTTCTTGCACAGGAAGGCGCAGCTGCATGCGACAAACCTCAAAATGACTGACATGTGCAAGTACCTCTAATGCATCATGAATCCCTACGCTGAAAGTGGCGGGGTCCCACAAATTCTTCCATCAAAATCAGACATGGATTCTATGAATGCGCCCCAAGGGTTCATGGCCCGGCAGCAAGCACACACCGAATTATTCTCACCACAGAAGTCACTGTTTCCGAATCCAAAAGCTGTGCCAAAACCAGGCAGGAGATCAAAAATTAGGAACCTTCCTTAGCAAAACAAGTAAATAGTTTATGAGACGTGTTGTGTGTCTATTCTTAATTCGCCATTCTTACATTTATATGATATGTTGGGCTGCTACATTTAATACAAGAATTAAAACTTACACTTGCGAATTCAATGAATTATGTTCCTTTTTTCTTCCCTGCAGGGGAAATCTATGCTGCTGGGTTTAAAGCGGCTGGGGTGGCGTCTCAGCAAACTGCCTCAGCGGCTGCTGCATTTTTGCTCCAGGATGCTGCAAACAACTGGATGAACATTGATCGGTGTTGGGTCGGTGGCTTTGTTGGAACTTAGTTCTGCTTTCTGAGGGTGCTCTTGATTTGTTTATTTTCATCTGAAACGTTTGCAGTGATGTTGTAAAAGATCAAAATCAGGAAGCCTATTTGTCCCCGGCTGTGTCTACCACCACCGCTCGAGGGACATGTTTGTGCTCAGCCTCGGGTTTCGCAAATATGCGACTGTTGCCTGCCCTTTGAAGAAAGTAACTGTGGGCGACAAGGATTGGGATTACGCCAATGAAATTATCGGTTGCACTAAAAAAAACGCCAGTGTTGATTTCATTTTTGAAAGGGGGTTTGGGCCAGGAATTTGTAGTTTGTTGCCTGCTAGGACTACCTGGTGCTTTGCCCGCCAGTATCGATGTCACAGCCCTTAGCCAGAGACCTGTGCTGGGTAGTCAACTATGAGATTGACGGGGAGTGGAAGTATGTTCCTGTGCAGCGGTTGGTCAGAGGCCTTGTCCCAAAGGATCTCATTCAAGATGGTCGAGCATTTTGCTGGAACATCACTAGTTCTGAGGGGATGTCTCTGGTCAGTTCAGCTATCAAGGAAAGAACTTGGATTTCTCTCCCGAACATACGGCTTATTTGCAACCATTGTGGTGTGGACCCACCAGAAAAAGGAAAGGGATCAGGAAAAAATGGAGCTGTGGTCAAAATTGACTGGGCTCGATGTCTTGTGGAGTTTTTGTTTCCACATGCATCGCTAGCAGAAAAAAAAGAGATGATCGCAGCCTTGACATGGAAACAAGGTAGGTTGGGAAGTCTCAAGGATAAAGAACGTTCAGTCCTTGAGATGGTTGCCCAGCTTGATGAGGAAAACAGAGAGGCCCCTGAATTTCAGAGGGTAATCAAGTTAGCCAAAGCCCGTTTGAAGGAACAAGAAAAACGAGAAGTTGAGACTTCAACCAGAAAGTTGGTGGAAGCAGAAAAGAAAAGAAGTGAGCTAGAAGAAAAAGAACGCACTGAGCTTGCTGCTCAGAAGGCTGCTGAAGCAGCAGAGCAGGAGGCAAGGCATGTGGAGCATGCCCCATCCTCCTCTTCTGGAGCAGGCCCTAGGAGACCTAGCGCAACACCTCCTACACTCAAGGATTTCCTTACCTTTGAGATGACAGAAGAGAGGATTTCAATCAACCGCGATCCTTCTGCCTACGGATATCGAGCGTTTTACCCGGGTTTCTATATCATGTTTCAGGCCAACCCTTTTTCAATACAGATCGGATAACATATTTTTTTTCATACGGGAACGAACTTTTTTTCGGGATAGCTGCTACCTACCCCCCTCAATCTGCTGAACAGTCTGTTGAACTGAGGTGCTGGTGAAGGACTGCAAAAGAATTTCCAACGGAAGTGGGGCACTCCCAAATGTAAGGAGGAACATGAAGCGCTGCTTGCATGCTTGCAATTTATCTACACTCGCTGGAACGCTGACAAGCCAGAGGCAAAAAAACTTAGCGTGTGTTTTGGCACACCATTTATCTAATTTTTCAAATCTTATCCCTTGGATATTAGGATTAGGATTAGGATGCTTCCCATACAGTCTTTTGATGTTTTCAACTTCACCCACTGCCTGCCGACTAAGACCGGCACTGGACAAGGTGAAGGAGTTCACTCAGAGCTTGTCCAAAGTGAAGTCTTGAAGAATGCCATCGTCAATCGCCGAGGGCAAAATGGCGCCATCGTCAAATGACGACAGCGTGACAAGACCCCGTCGCCAAAACGATGACGGGAAAACAAACAGCCAGCACAGCATCATCAGGGGGCATCATCTGGAGATTTCTTAATCATCAGGGTATTGGGGATTGGGTTGTTTAAGTAGCATCAAAGCCAAGAGAAACCCCAATCCAAGGGTTAAGACCACTTGAATCATCAGGGTATTGGGGATTGGGTTGTTTAAGTAGCACCAAAGCCAAGAGAAACCCCAATCCAAGGGTTAAGACCACTTGACCACTTGAAGGGCCATGATGACCCAAGTAAGTTTCCAGGGAAACAGTGACGAAATAAGGCAACTTTGCCTATTTTAAGGCTGATTACCCAATATTCGGTTTGTTTGGGAAATAGAGCCAAAATAGGCAGAAATTCACGAATTTTGGCCAATTTTGGCCATCACAGAATAGCCGTGTCCCCAGGGGGGGGGGGTTGGTGAGGGGGGGGGCTTGGAGTCTATGATATATATATATATATATATCTATATATATATATATATGTTGTATGTTACTGTAAGTCTCAGATGTAACCAGCCCAGCAGATTGAGTTCTTGTTTTGTCATCAACACCCACAAACTAATTTCTTTTTTTCATGCCTGTCCGGCATGAAAAAGACATATCATATATGGGACGCTGAGGCAGGTCATGTCATATTGAGCATGTAGAGGCAACATGTCAGGACGGTACAAGTATATATATATATATATACACACTATATTTACATGGTGTTTTAGATTGCGCTGCAGTGTTTGCACAAAGCAGGTTTAGGTAGAAACAAGGAAACTGTTATTGCCCAGAATGGTGTGATTTGCACTGAGACAGCTGGCGTCGGGCATCAAATTGGGGAGGTGATGATCGGCCGCATTCTGTCTATGTCATCGGTGATTGGGGCGGTGTGCTCTATGGTGTGGTCACTTAGCGACCACAGAAGCCCATTGAAATTATCCAAGGTGGTCTAGACGGTCCAGGTGCTTCAAATGAAACGACTTCCGGCAACTGGTCAAAACCTATCAAAACCGTTTTGACAATCAAAGCATTCTGATTAATTAGAACCTCCATGGAAGTCAGCCTCGTTGTCCTTGTTTATGAAACAAGATCCAAGTTGAAACGCAACGTAGTACAGTAGCTGGTACAGTAGTTTGTGGCTTACTATTAGTTTGTGAACCTTTGTTAATGGTCTGCGTTTGAGGAGTGTCGTAGTTCCAACCCAAGTCACCAATGACGTCCTCCAAGGTGGTTCTTGGGTTGCACCTGCCGATCATCGATCATCACAGTTCAAGGCAGCACAAAGATCTGCAGAGCCTTCGAAACCAGTGGAGTGAAGTGCAGATACTAGGATTCAACAATTGCATGTTGGGAGATGTTGGGGCTTTCCAATTCACAAACAGACACTGCACAGGGGCATTCCAGGGCGTTCATCAAGGGCGCCTGGACCTCAATGGCGATGAATCTGCAATTTTTTTCAGGATTCTGCCCCTTTGTCCAGGAGTTTCAAGCTGCCAGACATAATGAACACAATTCCGAATTAGAGTAGAGGATATTCAATGCAGGGAACCACTCAACCATGTTGACATCGTAGAAACAATAGCAACCATACCAAAAGAATGCAAAAGATGTGCATCCGACCGTACTTGCACAGCGTTGTGCCGAGGCAGACGATTTTGCCCAGCATAAGGCAAGATGCTGCAAGGGGATTGACCTGCCAGCTCTTTTAAGTGGGCACTACTGCAAGTTCTCTTATACAGCCCCAAAGATGCACAACGAGAAGCAACAAGGAAGCGGTTTCATCCGGTTCCAAGATTTTTGGTGTTTTGTTCAGGTTCTATTCGTATTGTTTGTTGGATTGTGTAGTTTTCTTTCAAGATGTGTCCTTTTGACTATTTGCATCTTTGTCATCTATTGTTCCACATTTCAAAGATTTGTTTTTGGAAACAAAATGCATGGTGGATGCAACGAGCTGGTTTGTGGTTTGTGTTCCACCGCGATCGAAGGTAAAAGCAACAAACAGACAGCTTCATCATGAGTACGAGCAAAGCCTTTGTGAAAAGGGATTGAGTGCAAAGTGCAACAGCACGGATCAAAACTTTCCCTCGTGTGTGTGTCTTCGTGTGTTGTTAGTCTGAGAGTAGACAAACTCTTGGCGCTCTCGGATGTGCTCCGTCAGCGGGTTGGGTCTTTCCCTGTACCCTTCTGTTCCCTTCCACCTAGTGCCACCTTGGCACATCCCTTGGCACATCCCTTGGCAAATCCCTTAGCACTTAGCACATGCCTTGGCACATCCTTATGCAGTGTCTTACAGTGTCTGAGTGTGTGCCAGGTGGCAGATGCCATGATGGATCACGCAGCATCTGAACTTAGCATTGCCATTGCTCATGTCGGTGGTGGGGTGAATGCACAGCGCTCATCAGCAATTTTGCAAAGTGTCATTTTGTAGATCTTGCATGCTGCAGGCGTTTGCCAGCCAAGTTGGGAATAGTTAACAGCCACAGAGTGTGATTGAACTAGACCAATCAGAGTATGGCTTCCCTTCGATTCTTTGCTTGCGAAACTGTGCCACAACGGTTCGTGACAAGAATGGAATATCCTGAAAAGCCATGCAGACAGAAGCTGGAACCGATTTGTCAGTGGTGTTGTGTCTATGCATCGGTGTTTAGCGGGGGATACAATTTGCAGGAGTGCAAATGTGATCTTCAGTCTGCCTTAAAGCTGTTTAACAAGCAATGGCAGCAAGAACACTTTTCGGCGCAGAAATTGCAAGCACAACTGGAAAGGCTCCTGCTGTGTTGTTTCGACATTTAAGTGGTTGCCTCTTCACAAGCTAGTGCCATATGAATTGCAAACAGGAGCACAACATGTTGCCCAGTTGTTAGTCGGAAACATGAACGCTCCCAGTGCGTCCAGGCAAAGGAAACTCAGTGTCACAAATGTGGCTGCTTGGCAGAAGAAAGACTCCTGCCCGTTGTATTCAGTATTCCCACTATTTCCCACTTACACTCATAAGTTACGCCTTCTTGTGTGGGTAACCGCGCATGTATGGACGCAAACACTATGAAGGTTCAAGCAGACAAAGGCTCACACCGTACACACGATGCACACTTGACAGGGAAAGAGCCCATCAAGACCAATGTGGCAACTGCTTCTCACTAAGGCAATGTGTTTATGGCCGACTCGCTTTTCTGCAGACACTGTGGCTCCAAGCGTGAGGAGAAACAAAACATCACCTGTGACGGGACACTGCACACTGGGGCGTTGTCAAGTGATACAAAGGGCTAATTATATGGTAATATAAAGCAATATAGAGTAGTGTAGTATATACTGTATATATATAGTAGATTATAGTAGTATAAAGCCAATGTGCTTCAGCTTTCTTCGGCCCGTGGCTTTCACGATCCTAGAACATGTGTTTGTGTTGACCAGGAGGTGCCAGTGCAGCAAAGTGCCCCGCAGTGCCTTGGTGCAAATGCATCAACAGCAAGTCATGAAATTCGACTGTTGCAAGGATCAGCTCTCCAATCCACATGCTCACCGAAGAGGAACAGGGGCAAATCCTTGTCGAGCGCAAGATTGAGGACCGGAAGTGGACTGGTTGGTGGCTTGATATTCTACCTGGTAGTCCATGCCAGTCGCAGTTTCCTGCTTGAGGGACTAAGCATCACCGGACGGATTTCCATCAAATGGTAGTTGTTCTGTTGGGCAATGTCTACAACGTCCGACATGCTCTAAGCATCTCTAGATCAGTTGTGCCAATTTTGCCATGCTTTTGGGCTACAAATGCTTCTGCCTTGAGGTTCATGCAATGGTAGTATGTATCCCTGGTCTATCTACAAAATAAGGGTTCACCAATCGACAGGCATTTCGACAGCTGGCAGCCAATTTAGACGCTCAGGTGGGGATGTCATTCTGCCAGCATCATATGGTTCCTTTGATGGTCAGCAGTTCCCATGGCATGCAGTTGCAGGTCATTGACCAGATCGTTGACGAGCACAATCGAAGGCAGAGCTACCTTGTCGGGCCAAGTCCGGTAAAGTATGATCTACTTCACACTGCTCCATAAAAGGTTGTGCCATGTTGTGCCCATTTCCCTTTCAAACTGGATGTATTGTATACGTGCCATCAGACACACCGGCACATGGATATGAATCAGTTCATCGCGGTGGATAGTCAACAATCTTTGGTATTGCGACCAACATCTTCCAGCAAGTTCTCTGTTGTTCAAAAGTGGAAGCATCCGCTCGGGCCCTGAGTTTCTACACGTTTCGGCTGATTGCACAACATCGGATCATCTCTTGACTCTTGAGCATGTTCCTGAAAGGCTTGTTGGCTCCTCAGGTGTCGGAAACGGCAGGGGCCCTAGCAAATGAAACCTTGAACGAGCAAACAAGCTGGAAACAGCTCGTTTCCCTTCATGGATAAGACCGCGAAAATTATGTTTGTTTTCATGTTGTTTATATCATTGAGAAGTCGAATGTACAGTACGCATCTGCAGCATGCTAATGCGGATTGCTTTTGCATTCTGTTGTTTTCCACAAGGGTTCGGGAGTGTTTGGAGCAATCTGTGCTTGCTGACTTACTGGGAGTAGTTTTGCAGACAATCTCCAGCATTTGGATTGAATATGATTGAATGGACTATCATCAAACCATCGGCGCTCAGAACAGATTGGTACATAGATCGACCAAGCTCGGCAGTTGTGCAGATTCAGGCGCAGCCTTAGAAGCCTGTCAACAGGAGCTTGCTCAATGCAAGGAGGGGATAGTGAAAGGGCTGTATGGCATCTACGGTTTGCATTTTTTGTAAACACTACAGGAGGGTGTTTTAAGTCCATACAACAGCTGCCCTGCTGATCCCTGCTGGACCTTGATCTCAAGTGTGACAGATTTTGGCCGTCTCCCGATAGATCGGAGGTTGTGAGTCTAGCCCTCACAGTTCATGGCAGGAGCTGCTTGCCTTGAAAGAGTGCCATGGCTGAAGATTGCTTTGGATCATGGAACCCAACTTTCCATGATTGGTTCATGTCCATTCATTGCGATTCATTTTGAGTCATGACTCATTAAAAAGAGGAAAACCATGGAAAACCAAGCTGAGGTGCTCGGATCAAAACCAGTTTGAAAGTGGAATGAAAAGGCCCAAGAGATAACCAGGTACCCACGACGTCGCTCCTAGGCAAGAACTCGCAGATTGCCGGGAGGAGCTGCAGAGGCCGGACCAGCTCGCTGCCAGATGATATTTTTTCTTATAGGGACCAGCTCGCTGCCAGATGATATTTTTTCTTATAGGATGTTTTAACATTCCCAACTGGATCAGACTTTGTAACATTTTGGAACCAGTTCTATATGTTCTACATGGCTCTACAGTTCAATCCTTATACTTAATGAACTCGAGTGACCCCTGAATTGCATTGAATTGCTGTCTGGGCCCCTAAGCAATGTGGCTTTGTGTTTTCCTAGGTTTAAAAGTTGATACTACGTTTAGAATCTGGCAGGCTTCGAGAATATTCGACTGCCTTGGAAGAGAGGGATCAAAAGCTATCCGTCGGTGACCTCAGAGGTTGTTTCATTGGGATTTGATATTTATACAGGCTGGTGAATGTCAGTGATGTAGAAGGGATGCTTTATTTTGAAAAATGTTTGTCAGCGGGCCTTCCTTGTGCAGTTTTTACATCTTACTGTAGACTAAGCAGAAGATCCAATCTCACAACGATAGGGGGGAAGAACTGTTTAAACAATCAACTTGTGAAGCGCCCCATTTTTCAAGCAACTCCATGTCATGATGGTTGGTTTGGTCATTTTCTCCCAAGCTTCTCTAATTTTGATGATCTGGCGCCATCATCAAGCCATAACCTGAAGGTGACATCACAAAAGAGAAAGGAAAGTAACAGGATCTGTGGCCCTATGGGTGTAGCGCTGCTTTCTTTAGCCATTGCGGCTGAGATGCATGAACTTGGAGGCTTGAATCCTAACAGGTCCGCTTGTTTCTTCCTTGTTGCTGGCTGAGGCAGCAGTGCACTCATCTGCGCCAATGCTAGATCAGGCACAGCGGGAGAAGGTTTTCAATCGCCGTCGATACATCCTAGCCGTGCACAGCATGGCAAACAACCGCTCCAAGTGCGTAACACATTTTGCTTGCACCAAAACAGACAGGATTTGTCAAAGATTTATTTGTCTTATTTTGTCTTCAAGTCCAAGTCTCTCAACAAACCGACACCAGACAAAGCGTGTCCCATTTGCTTCACAACCACATAAGATAGCAATCGCATTTGTGTTGGTGAGAACTACTGAACTCCTTTCAAAAGCAAACGTGTCATTGTGTGAAAACCAAAGGCTGCTTGGCAAAGCATTTCCAAGGGCCAAGCGTTTCGTAAGGTCCACAGAAAAGTCTCCTTTACCCCGTCGGCTGTGCAGCCAACGCTTCTTGGCAAAGCAAATTACTGTAGAGCTGCAGCACACTCCAAACGTTTCCTGCAGAAGTGACTTAGTAGATCGGTGAAGATTTGTGAACTGTTGATTTGTTTCACAGATTTCTCCACCGAGTGGAGGAGTTTCGGGATGACCAAGGATAGCTGCTATAAACCCAGCGGCATCTCGTTTCGCCCAGATGGACTGGGTGGGGTTGAAGACATGACAGGTAGCACAGCCAAGAGTCATCAGTGGTGAGTGGAAAACAACATCGAAGAAATTTGACGAATTTTGGCGGTTTCATGATTCTCTCGCTTCCTTGATACTTTGGGGACTGTTAGAATTAGAACGTATTGAAAGGAACCTTTGGAGGTGCATTTTGAGACAGCGAGCTTGCTTTAAGCTCTGGAAGTTCATTGTTCTTACCGTCCTTTCAGGATACAAATCACGATGGTCTTATTTCACAGGATGAATTTGTAACTTGGCGGAGCAGCCAGAGAGCTTCGAATTGTTTATGGTGCCATCAGTAACCTGCAAACTGTAGTATAGTCAGTAGATGTCAGTAGTATGGTTTATTCACTGTGACCATCTTGTCGTATGAGCCATTCAAGCCTTCATTTGATGGATTTTGCATGGAAAAAGACAATGCACGCGCTTGCAATATCTCAACGTTGTTTCCTCAGCATTTCCATGTGTTTTTCTTGCGTTTATCCGTGACAGAGTCCGCGTTTGTGCTCAGGAAAGTCATCGTGCGGCACGCAGCAACGTCTACATGGCAGATACGACGCTCCATTGCAAGTGGATCTGCCAGGTGGATTGAAATTGTTGCCATGTCTATCAGGTTGGGCAGAACATTGGCAAATAAAATGTGCAGTACATGCGGGCTTGCCCTACTGACCCCGGGCCCTGCGTTGATATGGCAGTGATGTTCCAGGAACAGAGGGCACTCTACGGCAGCTTCAGTAGGCAGCAAGGGTGAGTCTTCGGCGTGGAAAATATATTCTGCATAGATGTACCCTCTGGTTATTTAACATAGCCATGGAAAATGACCCATTTATAGATGGTTTACCTATTGAAAATGGTGATTTTCCATGGCTATGTTAAATAACCAGATGGTAATATGATTTAATATGAAATGTTTGTTTTTTTGTTTTTAGGAGGAATAAGAGTAAGAATGAGGTGTTTGAAATTATTTGAATCTACGATAGGACCATTTTTGAGTCTTCATGGCCTTGGAAACTTCAGGATTCCAGATTCCTTTGCTGCTTTCCCTGAACTTGTCTCTGTGTGATGAAGGGTGTTTGCGCGGCACCGGGCGAACCATTGGCCTAGATCTAGATCCAAGAGGGCATTTGTGTATTTCCTACTGGTTTGAAGCCACGCTTTGAAGAAATATTGAACACATTTCCAGCAGTTGCTGTGCTGTTTAGCTTAATGAATTTGAGAAGCGGTTGCTTTGGGAAGCCGTTCTATTGAGATTATCTTAAGAATTAATGGAGGTTTCAAAAACTATGCACAGCGTCCCAAGAGCTCTATCAAGAGCATCCAAAAGCAGGATAAGATTCTTGTCATGGTTGTCATGGTTGTTAAAATCGTCATTCCATCAGTGATTCCATCAGCATACTGTTTGAGCCTTCCTTAGATTTCCTTAGTGGCAGTTTGTGCGCGCCGACAACAGAGTATAAGAGAATCATCACGGTGCCCATGCCGTGGTACAGGCAGCTCAAGCCCTGGTGGAAGGTGTATGGTGCAGCTGCCCAGTCAGGTTGGGCAGTTGCCCAAGCAGTCGCAAGTGGCACACAAGTGGCCATGATCGGCATGGAATGATCGATGAGATACTAGATGAGACGAGATAGATATAGACTATAGACATCTATAGACGATGTAGACAGATGGTTTATTTGAGATGATGTGACTCGGCAAGTTTCAAGATCATCCTGCTGTCCCAGCTACGCTGTAGACTTTGACAGGCGACCTACAAGGCTGCCTACCTACCATCTCACCAGGCACCAGTGATGCCGATGCCTGTCCAGGTGCAGTGGGATGGCCCTGCTAAGCTGGCAGATGCTGGCAGTGCAGTAGTACCGTTCGGTTTGTTGCGGGGTTCGCCCAAATTTCCACCAAGATGGCTTGAATATGCTTGAATATGCTGAATCATCTGGCAGGATTCACTCTTTCAGCGCATTGATTCCAATCATGATGGAGTGATCTCAGCGGAAGAAGCAGTAGCCCAGCTGCATTGGCACAGACTGAAAAGAGGTGGACACTCAGCGAGTTTGTCAGCCCCGTATTCCTCAAAAAAAGGGGTTGGCTTGAAATTTTATCTATACTACAAATCTAATGTAATTATACCAATATATGATATATGTATACATATATATATATATACATGTATTACATTAGATGTATATGTATATTCACGAAAAGCTAACTTGTGCTAGCTGAAGGTACCCTTGCTTTAGCAGGCAATAGTCAGGCAGCAGGACCATTAAATTCTTTGGAACTCATTTTCACAATTTTCATCATTTTCATCATTTTCATCATGTTCATCATCATGTTCATCATCATGTTCATCATCATCATCATCATCATCATCATCATCGTCACCGTCATCGTCATCGTCATCGTCATCATCATCATCATCATCGTCATCATCGTCGTCGTCATCGTCATCGTCGTCGCCATCATCATCACCACCATCATCATGATGATCAGCCCCTTTCTTTGTTTGGATCTCAATCCGGTTCTTCCCTCCTTTTCCTTCAGTTGACTAGTACCATCTTGCTACCTTGGCCTCAAGGATATTTTGATATTATATGTATTTATAGATTGTGCACATGTCTTTATATACATATGCATAAATACATATACATATACATATATACATATACATATATATATACACACATACATATATATATATACATTCGCAAATACATATATATATATACATTTACATATACATATATATATATAGATATGAATGTGTGTAAAGTATATATATACACTATATACATCTACTATGTATATGTATATATATATATATACGTACTATTGATATGTATATATATATATACACTATATATATATATGCTATATATATATACTACATATATACTATATATATACTATATATATACTATATATACACTGTATATATACTATATTTACTATATATATACACACTACATATATATATATACTACATATACACTATATATATACTAGATATATACTATATATATTTACTATATATATAGTATATATATACTATATATATACTAGATATAGATATATATACTATATATATATATACTAGATATATACTTTACATATATACTATTTATATACTATATATATATATGTACTATACATATATATATATACTATACATATATACTATATATATATATATATATGTACTATATACATATACTATATATATGGTCCCGGTCCGCGGCCCGGTACCCCGTCCCCCGGATGGTATGGTCCCCCAGGCCGGCTACCCCCCGGCTACCCCCTACCCCCTGTGATTTATTCATCCCGCTTCGCGTGGGGTGGCCGCCCACACCGCAGGTTTATTTCGGTCCGTGAGAGGGGCTAAGGGTGGTTTTCCCCCGTGGGAGCTCTTCAAGCTAAGAAATTTCAATAAGAAATCCTTCCAAAACATTGTTTTTGACAGTGTTTTTCCAATGTTTCCAGTCAAACAGACGGTAATTTACACGTTTTTTGCCATAAAGGCAGTAAATCCTTCCAAAACATTGCTTTTGACAGTGTTTTTGTAATGTTTCCAGTCAAACATACGGTAATTTACACGTTTTTTGCTATAACGTCAGTCCAAAACACTTGTTTTTGCAGTGTTTTCAATGCTCTGGCATCCAAAAACCCTGCAAAATCTTGCTATGTACAATGTTTTTTTCATTTTTGGCCGTTTTTCCATTGCCGGAAAGCTACCAAAATGACCCAAAATTCCATTTCAATACCCTCTTGCGCTCAGACACCCAAAAATCCTCGAAAAATGTCGAAAACACCACCGTATTCTGGTCTCGGTGCGAAACCGTTTTTGGGGTCTGGTCTCGGTGCGAAACCGTTTTTGGGCCCCCCCCCCCCAGCTAAAGCTGATATAGCGACTGCTATATTAACAAATGTCATTGAGCATTTAGTGTTGCTGTTGCCCCCCAATAAGCACGCCTTCACCGCCAAAGCGGTGTGGGCGGATTTTGTTTTACGTGTCTACACAATGCTTTCATGCATGTTGACATGTACACCTAATTCATACCTTTCATGCGCACTCCGCATGGCTCAAGACTAGCAGCAATTCCGCCGCATAGAAAAGTGTCCGCCGCTCACTGCTTGACACAGGTGTTGTAAATAGTAATCCAGGGCTCCCCTAATAGAGGGATAGCTACCTCAAAGTGGTAGCGGAGCCTGTGCCTTCGCCAAGTCTAGATCTGTGTGCCGAACTGCCGTTCTCTGCATACATTCCGTATATCGGACTTGCGGAGGCAACCTGTAGGTCAAGTTAGAGTAGCTGCCATGGTCTTAATCCACAACATGGATTCAGATGAAGAACAACTCCAGATTGTCTCTTATGAAGAGCCTGAAGCATATGCCGCCACCAGTCATTCCGAAAACCGGATGGGCATCAAAATGACACCGAAAGTTCCACCCCAATTTGATGGCCAATCAAGCTGGTTTGAATATGAAGATTTAATTGATGACTGGTTAGGGATCACAACATTGGATGCAGATAAACACGGACCATCATTAAAGAATGCCCTCATTGGTTCCGCTTCTTTTTATAAGTCGATGCTCGATAATGCCCTACTCCGAGATCCGGATCGTGGCCTCGCTCATTTCAAGGACACATTGAGACCATACTTCGTGAAGGGAGTAAATCATGTGTTCCTTTGGCGATTCCTCCAGATTTTTTACTCCTGCCTTGCGCGTAAATGACCAAAAGCAACAGGAAAATTAGAAGCGCGCGTTGGCGCCATCACCAGGAAGCCTTTGAAATTTGGTGTGTTTTGAAGCAACTGTTTGAGTCTCATAGGGTTTTGAATGGAAGGGTGATGAGAAAAGTAGAGGTTGGTGGGCTCTTGAAGAAAACTAAGCATGTTGTGTAGCCAATGTTGCGAAGGGCGGCCTCTTGTTGTCTTTTGTGTTGCAGCAATACGATCCCTGTAGGCTGAGCTAAAAATGACGTGATGATATGGATCGTCCGGCGGAGTGGCCAACACTTCAAGTAAAATTTCCGTTTGTTGTTTAAGGACTATTTGAGACGCTGTGGTTGGTTTACCTGCCCTCTGCCAAACCGTAAAGTTAGAAACTCTTGAAATATAGGAAGCTGGTATTCCTAAAACCCTACGAAGGAGTCGAAAGTAATAGCCATCGATTAATTTAAAATGTTTGTGCGCAAGCGTCAGACAGTTCAACCCATAGGTCAAAGAAGACACAACTACTGAGTGGAAAATATAAAGCTTCGTTGTTTGTGGGAGCCGGCTGTTCCAAACTAGTCTAATGGATTGGAGCGCTGTCCGAGCTATTGAAAAACGTGCGGCTATAGCTGTTTCGGTAGGGTGATCCCATGTAACGACCGAGCCTAAATATTTCACACTGGTTGTGATTGGGACAGGTTGACCGTTGGCGAAGTTCATGGCTGCATCAGATTGGGGGTCGCTTACAAGAAGTTCGCTCTTAGCAAAATTAAGGGACATGCCATACTTACTAGCTTCTTGTTCTAAGGCTTGTAGCATACTTTCAAGTTGTGGGGTGGAAATACCGAAGATAAGCGTATCATCTGCGTATTCAACATCGAAGACTGGTTTACCGATGGACCAGGTGTTGGTTGGGGTACCCTGCTGAATGAGTCTTAACTCAGTGTCTTCCAAAATAAGAGAAAGAATCAAAATAAACAGATATGGACTAAGAGGGCAACCTTGGCGTATGCCTGACGAGACCGCGCCAGTAGCTACTTGGCCGTTCATACCCAGGATGGAGAATTCGGGGGACGTGTAAAAATCCTGGATGATTTCTATACAACCCGGGTGAGTGTTCCATCTCTGAAGACCTTTAATAAGGGCGGAGTGGTCAAGTGTGTCAAAGGCTTGTTTCCAATCTAAGAATAGCATGTGCATGGGTTTACTCAGTGCCCTCGACCAGTCTTGAATCCGTCTGACCAGGAATAGTGCGTGACGTGTACCGCGTGCAGAACGGAATCCATATTGGGTAGGACGAATATATGAGTCTAGTTCGCTTGCTAATCTATGTTGGAGAATGGTAGCGTATAGTTTGTACAAGACGGGTAGCAGGGAAATGGGGCGGTAGGAGGCAGGATCTTGATCATTACCTTTACCCTTATAGAAAGAAACGACAACAGCCATCTTCCATTCTTTTGGAATCCGTCGCTTACTCAGACATAAGATTCCTCCAGATGTTTCGCACATATCGAGGCCAGAGCGAATTCGTGCACTGGATAGGGCGATTTGAGATCGCGCAGAAGCGTTTGTTGGCTTCTTGGTCCGATCTGCTGGACATATCCGATCTTCCCGAGGCAGGCACTCAGGCATTTACAGCAGCACTCACAGATGAGCAAAGACTGCAATACAATGCAATAGTAACAGATGAAGATAAGCTAGCTTTTCAGCAAGAATTGAGAGAACAGACCATAACCAACAGAAGGACCAGACATGCACAGCAGTTTCCATTGTCAGACAATTTGATGTCACTGATTTTTCTAGTGCAAGCAGACCTCAACGAGCAACAACGCGAGCGTTTTGTCTCGTCCATGAACATCCGTCAGATTGCAATGCCTCAATACACCTATCTCCAAGTGAAACAGCTGTTCTTAGAACTTTTTGCCGTTTCCCGCACAGGTGTTGCAGACCCAAATATCACGCACCGCAAGCGGTCCAACTTCTACGTCATCGACGAGGGCGAGACCGAAGAAGGTGAGTACGGATTTTGGGTTTTCGATGAAGAGACGGGTGAAGAAGGTTTCACAGGCCTGTACACCGAGAACGAGTTCTGGGTTCTCAGCGCCAAGGGTTCATACTCTAAGCGCCGCATCTACGGCAGGTCCTTCAAGAAAGGTAGACCAAAAGGTTATGGCAAGAAAGGAGGAAAGAAATCAAGACCCGGTTTCCGCTCGAGGTCAAAAGGCAAAGGTTTTGGAGCATGGGAAGATGACCAGCAAGACACAGCTTTCTGGGGAAAAGGCAAGGGCAAAGGAAAAGGTAAAAAGGGCAAGAAAGGAATGATGAAAGGAAAGGATTCTTTCAAAGGAATGCCTTCATGGAAAGGAAAAGGAAAAGGTGATGCGAAGAACAAAGGAGGAAACAATCCATTTTTGTCACAACCTCCACAAGCTAATGTAGCACAGGCTGCATCATCCAGTGCATCACAAGCCCCTGAAAAACAAGAAACAGCCCATGCCGAAGAA